TTGACCGAGATTGTTTTAGTCGAGCAGTAAATATATATATTTGTGCCCATCTCAGTTAACTAATCCATTGCGGAGGCCTAGACTACAAGCCAATTTATGCTTGATCCGAAAATGTGGTCGGTGGCTCCATATGGAGGGTGTGACACAATTGCGGAGCCTCCAGAGGCATGCAATGGCCAAATCGAGCTCCGTACTGCATCACCATGCGCCTCCCAAATTTTGTAACAATGTGGAGGACTCTGTATCGCTCCGCATTGACATGATTGGCATATAAATGGGCCATTTGGGGATCTGACAGTATTTCTGATTGGCTTAACGCACCACCACTAATGACCTGTGGAGCTTCTCAAAGTAATGTTTTCTTCACCTCAAACAGCAAGCAAACAAAGTCTATTTTTACATCCATTGAGAATTACAATAGTTCCTCAATGTATTTGAAAAATCTTTCCAGCTCTCTCCCTTTCGATAACCACTCAGCGTGAAAGGGAAAAATTTCATGCTCTGATCCAGTGGAAGCGTCATAAAATAGGCTTACCTGATTACTTCTTATCAGTTTTTGACTTGGACTGAAATAGGTTCCGGTACTCATTTTGGGTGCTGGTACTGTTGATATTTAGGTGCAGGAGCACCACAATACTTTTGAGCTAATATTCTATAAGAGGAACAGGAGCTCAAGCAGTAAAAAATTGGAGGTGCAGGTACTCAGCTCCGGTGAGCTCCTGCCCAAGTCAAGCGCTGCATCTTATCCCTTGCACAAATAGCCTACAGCTGTGTCTGTCCCGAGCTCACTGGCACAGGAAACTCGGAGGACGCAGAATATTTTATACAGTGTTGCAAGTTTGCTAGCACGAGCTTTGGGCTGGACCCAGTTAATAGTTGATTCAATGTTTCAAGTTCCTTGCAGACAGACCATGTGTAGCCAATGTGATTTATAGGATATTTATTTTTTATCAGGATATTTTCTACCTGCAGGCTGCAATGTTTTTATTTGTTGGCTTTATGTAGGCTATTTTTACATAGTTGGCAATGGCGATAGAAGTTACTTTTTAGGTTTGTATCATTTTCATTTAGATTTGGATATAATTTTGATTAACCACATGACAATGACTTTGAGATATTTAGACGTTAAAATGAAACTGTTTCACATAAATTTGCATATGAAAACCATAACTGGCACGCAGATCGGTAGAAATGATAAGATGAATTGGCATTCAACATGAGAAAGGTTGTCTACTCCTTGTGTAGCCTGTTACTGGCAACTTCAGGAGAGTAAGGGCAGAATCTGCGAAAGCCAGCAGGGGCGGGAGGAGAATAGTTGGGTCAGGTAAAGTTTTTTTTTCTGCTGGTTATCTAGATCTCTGGCACCCTCTTGAGGCATTTGTCATATTTCATTAAACTATCAGCTTAAAGCATCAGACAAGCTCAATGCATATACAGTGGGGGAAAAAAGTATTTAGTCAGCCACCAATTGTGCAAGTTCTCCCACTTAAAAAGATGAGAGAGGCCTGTAATTTTCATCATAGGTACACGTTAACTATGACAGACAAATTCAGAAAAAAAAATCCAGAAAATAACATTGTAGGATTTTTAATGAATTTATTTGCAAATTATGGTAGAAAATAAGTATTTGGTCACCTACAAACAAGCAAGATTTCTGGCTCTCACAGACCTGTAACTTCTTCTTTAAGAGGCTCCTCTGTCCTCCACTCGTTACCTGTATTAATGGCACCTGTTTGAACTTGTTATCAGTATAAAAGACACCTGTCCACAACCTCAAACAGTCACACTCCAAACTCCACTATGGCCAAGACCAAAGAGCTGTCAAAGGACACCAGAAACAAAATTGTAGACCTGCACCAGGCTGGGAAGACTGAATCTGCAATAGGTAAGCAGCTTGGTTTGAAGAAATCAACTGTGGGAGCAATTATTAGGAAATGGAAGACATACAAGACCACTGATAATCTCCCTCGATCTGGGGCTCCACGCAAGATCTCACCCCGTGGGGTCAAAATGATCACAAGAACGGTGAGCAAAAATCCCAGAACCACACGGGGGGACCTAGTGAATGACCTGCAGAGAGCTGAGACCAAAGTAACAAAGCCTACCATCAGTAACACACTACGCCGCCAGGGACTCAAATCCTGCAGTGCGAGACGTGTCCCCCTGCTTAAGCCAGTACATGTCCAGGCCCGTCTGAAGTTTGCTAGAGTGCATTTGGATGATCCAGAAGAGGATTGGGAGAATGTCATATGGTCAGATGAAACCAAAATATAACTTTTTGGTAAAAATTCAACTCGTCGTGTTTGGAGGACAAAGAATGCTGAGTTGCATCCAAAGAACACCATACCTACTGTGAAGCATGGGGGTGGAAACATCATGCTTTGGGGCTGTTTTTCTGCAAAGGGACCAGGACGACTGATCCGTGTAAAGGAAAGAATGAATGGGGCCATGTATCGTGAGATTTTGAGTGAAAACTCCTTCCATCAGCAAGGGCATTGAAGATTAAAACGTGGCTGGGTCTTTCAGCATGACAATGATCCCAAACACACCGCCCGGGCAATGAAGGAGTGGCTTTGTAAGAAGCATTTCAAGGTCCTGGAGTGGCCTAGCCAGTCTCCAGATCTCAACCCCATAGAAAATCTTTGGAGGGAGTTGAAAGTCCGTGTTGCCCAGCGACAGCCCCAAAACATCACTGCTCTAGAGATCTGCATGGAGGAATGGGCCAAAATACCAGCAACAGTGTGTGAAAACCTTGTGAAGACTTACAGAAAACGTTTGACCTGTGTCATTGCCATCAAAGGGTATATAACAAAGTATTGAGAAACTTTTGTTATTGACCAAATACTTATTTTCCACCATAATTTGCAAATCAATTCATTAAAAATCCTACAATGTGATTATCTGGATTTTTTTCCCTCATTTTGTCTGTCATAGTTGACGTGTACCTATGATGAAAATTACAGGCCTCTCTCATCTTTTTAAGTGGGAGAACTTGCACAATTGGTGGCTGACTAAATACTTTTTTTCCCCACTGTAGTTGATTTTATTAAAACAGATAAGGTGTTTCTATATATTGAAAAATACACATTTAAAAATTTCAACCAATCGATTAGTCGAAAGAACAGATTGTTTTTAGGGACAGCCCTAAACAAGTGACATCAATAATGGATTATAGCTTTCACCTGTATTCAACTGGTCAGTCATGGAAAGAGCATCATGTTTTGTATACTCAGTGTATATTTCCATATTGAAGCCATGCAATTACTTAGAACAATGTGGACTGCAAACAGGTTAAAGTTAACGTATTTAGCAATGATGGGATACGTCTACATTTTGTTATTTTGTTTCTGTAAGCTATTAACAACCTATTATGGACTAACATTGGAATTGGAGTTGATGACAATGCAATACATAAAAGACTGTAAATACACAATTGAAGCAACCACATATTTAGCCAGGGAGCTCGTTCTCATTTGCCAGTGAGGAGCCAAGTCTCGACACACCCACAACTGGTTTATTCATCATAACCCAGCTCTTTGGCGCCACCGCCAGCAACGGCTCCCATGATTCTGGTTGTGAAAATAGCATTAATTGTTCTGACACACCCCCAAACCTATAGAGCTACCGTCAGCACTTAGATTTAACATTTCGTTAGATTTGTTCAAATAGAGCCCCTGGTCTTGGTCTTTCTAATGAGAAACTGGTTTACAGACCCACATTCACTCTGGGGAATGGCAGATGAATGGATAAACATAGTCTCCACTGACAAGCCATGTTGAAAAGACAATAGAAGAGTTGTATGCTGGTGTCTGGTACTTCAGGTTAGGTTAATACTTCCAAGGGGCGCCATGAGAGTAATGCCACGAGAAAACAAAAGACCAAAACCAGTGAAAGTTGTCTTACTCTGTTTCCGCTGGTAATGGCTTGCAGCATGCCCACACGAATCACACACACATATAGGCTTACAAACATTTAGCCAGTGAAAGTATCATAACCTATTCCTTATAGTTGTGGTTAATAAGCCCAAATGTTCCTGTTTCACTATTAGCAGAACACACACATAAACACAGATGCACTTTCACTCCTTGGAGCATTTTGGAGGTGGGGGAGTGGGGTTATGTCAAACACACATACGCACACAGACCGACTAACTTCCTGTTCCGTAAGGTACGTAAACCACCAATTTCCACCTGGTCTCACTGCACATCCATGTGCATGTGGGTGTTTGTGTGTGCATAGACTTTTGCACACACACCCAAAACCACAGACCATAATGATATATTGTCCATGTCACTGCTAATATCATATCAATGTAGAGTGTGTGTGTATGGAACAAAGATTCACTGAGAATTCAGTGTTTGACATTTCCTGCACTGTGCAGATGAGACACACACAAGGAGCTCCCCCACCCACAAAAACAAACATCTTCTTAAGAGAGAATATAGAGAGACAATGAAAGAGATAGAGAGACAGGAAAAATATACAAAGGGTAGATGTCAAGCCCATAGAGTAGACTCATATTTGAACCAATGGCTAAGCGCATCCAAGCACTGTTTACAGTAACACTTCAAACAGACACACATAGACATTACAATATGTACTCCACATATGACATACATATAAACCACAACACACCCACAGGGCTGCTCAGACAGTCCCCTGAGTTCCCCTGCCGGTGGTCAGGTTTAGTACTTTTGGAGGTAAACCTAAGAGACTACATAGGTCAGGGGTTATTATGGGTAAACCCCCCTCTCTCTGTCACACCTGTGGCTTGGTGCAGGAACTCAACATTGCGAAGGCAATCTCTGCAAACATCTGGGAAATTGCATTTTAAAAGTATATCGCAGTGCACAGGTCATTCATCTGTGTTTGTTTGAATCCTGGCTATAGTGCATAACGTCCTGCGATGAAGGTGTGTATAAAGGTGTGCAGTCCCTCCAATTGAAGTAGACAGCATAGATCTATGTGTGTGTGTGTGTGTGTGTGTGTGTGTGTATACCTGTGGGTGTACTGCAGTCCTTCCAGTCGAAGTGTCCAGCATAGATGCCTGGTTCCAGGGATCCTACGATGGGATCAGACTTCCTCTCGATGTAGGCATCAAACAAACTCTCATCTAGCTCCTTCACCGCACGCACAGTCACCTGGAAACAGACGTAGAGACAAACCTAATTAACACACCTACACAGCCACACAGACACTCACCTGGGAGCCGAGAGAGACATTCAATCAAATTTCAAAGAAATCTATTTAGGAATCCCTTCTAACATCAGCAGTTGTCACAAAGTGCTTCTACGGTAACTTGATTGATGGTCTTCCTGTCACAATATAGTTTCTTAGGCAAAAACAAGGGCTCAAAAACCCAATTAACCACCCTGAGTGGTTTTGAACCAACTGCTACAGGCTGTTCAGCTGTCTTTACGGGAAGGGCCAACCAATATGTGAGTGAGAGAGAGAGAGAGAGAAAGAGACTGACTCAGATCTGACATATAAGTGTTTAAAGAGAAAGTGAGAGTCATTGCTCTGCCCTGAAACATAAACGTCTTTCTCATCAAGTCTTTGGTGACAAACATTCTTCTTCACAGAACAGCAAAAACTAAACAGCAAAATATCTAAGGGGCCAGTTAACTGTTCGTTGTTTCCGACACACGGAAGGCTAAAGTTGCAGCTTCCCAAGGCTTGTGCGTCTGAGTTTGTGTGTGTGAATGTGTGTCCTCTCTACTCACCCGTGTGATCTTCTCAGTCCCGGTGAAGCCGTGCTTCTCAAAGTGCTCAGCCAGATTAAGGAAAGTGTGTTTCTCCAGGTACTGACAGTTACTGAGGATGATCAGCAGACGCTGCTCCTACACACACACACACAAATACACACACAGAATAATACGGTCAGAACATTGGATTTGTCATATTGAGTGGTCTCTGAACATCTATCTGCCAATAATCTCATCACTGACTCCATCCCTGTTTGACTAGAATTGATTGAAATCCTGTTTTACTGCATACTACACACTCTGGGTTTCCCTCACTGATACAAGGTAAATGATAACAGCTACCTCACTGACATGATTAGTGTAACAGGTAGTGTTCACTCTTAACACTAGAAAAAACTGCCCCCTCTCCAAAAAAAAAGCTATGTCCTGCTCCTTCCCTGAATTTTCCTAAATGTTTGTATTTTACACTGCTCATTTGTCAGAATTTTGAAATCACAAACAGAAAAGTATTTAGAGCCGTTTTACCAGTTTTTTCCACACCTATTCCCAACTTAACCCAGCCAGGTGCTAATGCGTCTCTCTCTCCTCACTGAATGAATGACAAATGGATGAATGGGCGATAATCGTGCACCTTACTTCACAATTGAATTTAAATGAGGCCTAACTGAATGATAAGGAGGGTGAAGAGGTTGATTTAATTTAGAACAACAATAGTGTAATGATGAGTTTGTGTTATGCGTATTTATCAGCGTTGGTGCTCATGTTAATAATTTAACCGCGCGCCTTGAGGGTTGATACCCTTCTCTTTTATGTTTTACTTTGTAAAAAGAAGCTGTTACAGGACTATTTTATTTACTGTCTCTATTATTAATCAGATTTATTGTAAGGGAAACGACAACATGCTACATGTTGCAGTAGGCCTTCAGAATAATGCAAAACACATCCTTTAAAAAATATATATAACAGTTCAACGACAAACTGTAAAGACATTGTACATTTTTCCCCTTTTTGTCCCCCCTTGACCTCCCTCCTCCCAGAATTCCTCCAAACACATTTTAAAAAAGGGAAAGGGGCCTCCCGAGTGGCGCAGCGGTATAGGGCCAAGGCGTCACTACAGACCCGGGTTTGATCCCGGGCTGTATCACAACCGGCCGTGATCGGGAGTCCCATAGGGCGGCGCACAATTGGCCCAGCGTCGTCCGGGTTAGGGGAGTGTTTGGCTGGGGGGGGCTTTACTTGGCTTATCGTGTTCTAGCGACTCCTTGTGGCAGGCCGGGCGACTGCAGGCTGACCTCGGACGTCAGTTGAACGGTGTTTCCTCCGATACATTGGTGCGGCTGGCTTCCGGGTTAAGTGGGCGGGTGATAAGAAGCACGGTTTGTCGGGTCATGTTTCGGAGGACGCATGACTCGACCTTTGCCTCCTGACAGCTGATGAAACTGAGGAGTATTTTGGTCTGTAATAAAGCCCTTTTTGGGGGAAAAACAAATTCTGATTGGCTGGGCCTGGCTCCACAATGGGTGGGCCCCTGCCCAGTCATGTGAAATCCATAGATTAGGGCCTAATAAATTCATTTCAATTGACTGATTTCCTTATATGAACTGTAACTCAGTAAAATCATTGAAATTGTTGCATGTTGGATTTATATTTTTGTTCAGTATATTTCCATGTATATTTCTTCATGCAATGAATCCGTTACAATCATTTATGCACTATTTATCAAGCATTGGTGCTCATAAATAAACTCTGGGCATCTGCTCTGAATATTGCCTGGCTGTCAGTCTCACCCCTGCTAGAGAAACCCAGTCTACACCCTGCTCTATTTCCCTTTACCAGAAACACCCTACACACACACTCCTCTTCCCCCCCCCCACACACTTACATGACACCCATGGCCATTCACTCTCATCTCGACATATAGTATAAAGGAAATGAGGTTGTGCCTGCTTCCTGTCCACAACCAGGAAACAGCATCATAACACAGAGTGGTTTGGTTTGCCAGTGAAGGAGATACAAGTAAGTGTGTGTGTGTGTGTGTGTGTGTGTGTGTGTGTGTGTGTGTGTGTGTAGGGGCGTGAGATTGTAAGAGAGATAGAGTGAGAAAGAACCCTCATTGAGAACGCTTATCGACATTGGTAATCCTGTCTCGTGAGATCGAGTTCGATTGAGGCCTATAGTCTCAGAATGAGAAAATTCAGATTTTCATACCAGTGTTGGACAGAAATCCTCCTGAATGCCACTGAACAGCTTTGTAGAGGCCAGGTCCACTGACATACTGAGAATACACACACAGAGAAGAGTTTAAAATACACTAAGGCAGACACACAAAAGGGCGGCACTGGAAATAAAGTCCCTGCCTGTACTCACTGTGAGGTGTCGATGTCTCTGTCTGTTTTAGTGCTCAGCTGCTCCAGGCAGTTGATGAACACCTGGAATAGGTGTTACAGGTCGGTCACAGATACAGGTCAGTTACTCAGACACACCTAGACAACAGTAACAGTGTGCTATATTCGAAATGTCTACTGAATGGGGTGAATGGACTGCACTGTAAACCTACAGTAAACTACCTATAATCTGTAGTGATTCCTTTGGTGTAATATGAGTGTAATCCTAGTCATTAATCGACCCTGTACCATACCTTATTGATGTCCTTACAGAGCTTTTCCACCTGCTCTCGAACCTGCTCGAATTTCAACTGAACTAAACTACTATTATCTGTAGGTATTCCTATGACGAAATATGATGTCATCCTTAACTCTACTTCGTACCGTACCTTCATCATCCTCTCACGGAGCTTCCTGGCCCCTTCCTGCTACAAAGGTAAAAGTCTATAATAATCTAAGGGCCAGTTTCATGGACATAGATAGACTAATGCAGGACTAAAAAGCCTTCTCAGTGGAGATTCTCCATTGAAAGTCCAGGACTAGTTTTAATCTGTGTCCTGGAAACTGTCCCTAAATGTCTACTGGACTTGTGCATTGTAGCCTATAAACAACCTGTGACCTGCAGGAGTCCCTTCACTATAGTGTAGACGGAGTGAAATATACTGTAAACCTATTCTCTAGTGACATTAGTACCATACCTTGATTGAAGGGATTCCTATGTTGAACTATACTGTAATCTGAATCTCTACTCCGTATTATTGTGGTCAAATATACTGTGAACCTAGTCTGTAGTGACTGTACAGTACCTTCATGATGTCCACACAGAGCTCTGAGGCCTGGTCCTGATCCAACTGGAGGATCTGAAGACAGAAGAGGAGAGCAAGGTGAGACAGGACACTCAGCCGCATAAAACAACTATCACACTGTATTGTGGTCCAATACAACAACATATACAGGTAACTACCAAAATAAAGGAAACACGTGAGTAAATGAGGGCTAGAAAGTATATTGAAAGCGGGTGCTTCCACACAGGTGTGGTTTGTCAATTCTATTAAGCAATTAACATCCCATCATGCTTAGGGGTCATGTATACAAATGTCCAGTTGCCCATTATTTTGGCTACCATGGCTAGAAGAAGAGATCTCAGTGACTTTGAAAGAGGGGTCTCAAAGGAGCATGGGGGGTTTAAAGTGTGTGTGTGTGTCTCATTCACCAAATCTCAACCCAATTGAACACTTAAAGGAGATTCTGAGAGAGCATTTACAAAACACCAAATTACGGATTTTCTTGTGACTTGTAGAATCTATGCCAAGGCACATTGAAGCTGATCTGGTGGCTCGTGGTGGATCAACGCCCTATTAAGACACTTTATGTTTGTGTTTCCTTATTTTGGCAGTTACCTGTAGTTCACATACATAGATAGTTCACATAGATGAATGAGATTCTGTGATAGTGTAATGTATGTGTGTTCCTTACATTGACCTCCCCAGGTTTGGTATCCATGGGTTCTTTGAGTGACTGCAGCATCTGCACCATGCACTGCTCAAACTGGGCCGGCTGCTCACAACACAACACACAGATCGAATATATAGATTACACCACGTCATATGTTATATCATACTGTATCTTACCATAATAAATCATGACATATCACTAAGTGGAGTGGATAGTATAGTAAATATAGCATTACCAGGCTGGTGATTCCTTCATTGTCTATGACCCAGTCCTCTTTCTCTGCAACCCTTTTGACATCTGACAAAGTACATACAAAAACATGAATGACTGTAGCGACTACAAATGTGTGCACTCTTTACATTATTCTTGATCAAATTAAGTAATGGTACTAGGTAGTAGATGGCTAACAACTGTAGGGTCATGATCAGTTCACTTTACATTTTAAACAGGACTGTGAGAGTTGTTTGGAGGAAGACTGCAGTAGAAAGTGAAATGACCCTCTAAACTAGTGTATAACTACCTTCAAAACCACACTTAGTTGATACTATCAACCCAGATTTTCTATAGAACTAGGACCACTGTCAGAATAACCAACCCTGTTTAACCCTCTCTAACCTCACCTAACTCACCCCTCCAATTTCTCCTCTTCCCTATCCCCCAACCTCGCTACATCTCTATCCTTCCTCCTCCCCCTCTCTCAAGGGTGGAGAGTGCAGGGTGACCAGTAGAATGTGATGTCTCAGCTCCTACAGTAGATCCCCTCCTCCCTCCCATATCTCCCTTCTCCCTTTCCTCACCCTCTGTGGTGTGGTGCAGGGTGACCACTAGACAGTGGTGTCTCAGCTCCAGCAATAGATCCTGGATCACCTGCAGTAGATCATTGGGGATCTCCAGAGCTACCAGAGCCTCAAAAATGATTCTGAAGACGTGGGAGAGAAAGAGAGAGAGGAGAGAGAGAGGAGGGAAAGATATGAGGGAGAAATAGAAGGGAGGAGAGAGAGAGAGAGAGAGAGAGAGAGAGAGAGAGAGAGAGAGAGAGAGAGAGAGAGAGAGAGAGAGAGAGAGAGAGAGAGAGAGAGAGAGAGAGAGAGAGAGAGAGAAGAGGGGGGAAAGTGGAGGAGTGATTGGGGGTCGGGAATATGGGGTATAACTTCATTGACACACACACATGCACACGCAAGCACCCACACACTACAGCAGGGATCATCAATTAGATTCAGCCACGGGAAGATTTTTTCTTGAGCGGATGGTCGGGGGGCTGAAACATAATTACAAATCCTTTGTAGACTTCAAATTGGCCGCAAGAATCCCAAACAGATATAATATTTGACTAAAACATAATCAATTCAAACCTTGCTTACATTTGTATATATTGTATAAATGTGTGTGTCTCTCTATTATGCGTGGGAAAACTTGGGAACAGATTTCCAAAATTAAAATCACTTGGAGCTGATTTCCTGGTGTATTTGACCATTTGAGGGGCCAAATAAAACCACCCACGGGCCAAATTCAGCGCGCGGGCCGCCAGTTGGGGAACCCTGCAATACAGTGACGTGTCCATACCTGACGGTGTGTATGACCTGAGTGAGCCAGGGTCCAGTGAGCTCGGTCTTACTCTCCCAGCCACCGTACAATCTCAGCTCCAGCTCTGTCAGGGTGGAGGGGAGCAGAGCACCTCTCACCAGCTTCACCAAGCGATGGGTCACCTCCTCTATCATTTTCTATACAGACACACAGAAACAGACTAGAGTCCAATAACAATACACCAGTAACACTTTGGACCCATTTACAAGGCACTGCCCATTTTGCTTTAGCTCTGTAAAACTGTAGACACTGATGAGAGGACCTTCCTATGGTTATAAAAAGTGTATCTAAAAAGTATATCCAACACAACTCACCTTAAAGTCGTTCTGTCTCTGCCTGGCGTTCTTCTTTGACTTTTCAACCTGGCCAGATTTCTCACCAGTCTGATAAAAGCACACGTTTGACAACAGTGAAAATATGCTGTGTTGGTTCATTACATTCATGATGTTAAATCATTGTCTGTTTTATGTACCTCGCTGAAGAGGCTGCCGTTGACGTAGGAGATCCAGAGCTTCCAGAAGTTGGGCAGCTGGCCAATCACCACGTCCGACAGTTTCTCCACAAACTGCACCTGCTGGGGTGTCTCATAACGCCAGGCTGCAACACACACAGACAGGAGACAGACAGGTTATAGACAGACAGGTTATAGACAGACAGGTTATAGACAGACAGGTTATAGACAGACAGGTTATAGACAGACAGGTTATAGACAGACAGGTTATAGACAGACAGGTTATAGACAGACAGGTTATAGACAGACAGGTTATAGACAGACAAGCGAAAGTAACTGAGTAATATAGAGTTGTACATAAAAATACAGTATAGTTCACAATTAAAGTTGACAAATGTACATAGTGTTGATGTTATTTTTTGTCCACGACACTTTCAAAACCCCCAGGTTGAGAATGGCTGTTAGTGTGTATATTGTTATACTGTACTATAATATAGTAGGGTTACTCACTGCTGTGGCGTGAGGTACGCAGGCTTCCCCCCTTCTTCAGAGAAGCTGTGTCCCTGATCCTACTGAAAGCCGATGGGCAAGGGTCCCCCTCTAGATCCAGGGCTATGGCCCCCAAGCCCACTTAGATGGAGAGATAAAAGGAGAGGGGGAGAAGAGAGAGAGAGATGGAGAAAGAAAAGAGAGAAATAAACCCACAGGAACACATACTTGAGAGATTAAATAAACCTTTTTCATAATAACTCCACATTCCTCAATAATCTCAGCTGGCTTTCACACCAAACAACCCCTCCCTCGCTCCTCTCCTCCTTTCTTTATTTGTCTTCTGATCCATCTCTCCCCTGGCCAGCAACAGAGAGAACGCCCCGTTGTTTCAGGGTGAGGAGCGAGAGAGAACAGTAAAGGGGGAGGATGAGGAGAGGAGACGCGAACAAAGGGCAGTGGGTTTGTACAGGGCAGAGGTCAACTGGGTTTAGCCGGGCCACACTGGGCACAGTGATGTCTGTGGGGATCTGGGTCAGATTACTCTGGCCTGATCAGGCTGCTCACTGCTCTCCACTAGATGGTGATAGAGAGCTACAGTGGTACTGCAGCCAGGGGGTGACTGGCTGACCGGCACACATATGCTAATGGCTGTTATCTTGCACCCTTGTTTCCAGTACACTTGGCTTAGTGCACTCCTGTGGGTCACTGGGAGAGGTTTGGTAAAGAAAACCAGGACGGGGTGAAAGGTCAGCCCTGTGACCTTTGGTCTTTGACATGAAAGTGAAACCTGCACTGAAAAGACTATGATAGAAATTCAGGGTAAAGCACTGATACAACAACACTACTAGAGCTTAAACAGAACGCCTACAGATCCTTACTGTAAACGCAGTGAGAAAAATAACAGGACTTATTTCCAAAACATATGACACACACTCTCTCACACACAAACACAGTGAGTCACAAACTCGTACTCTTGTTGATGTTGCGGTCTGTGAGCTTGGTGAAAACCCCAGACTGCAATGGCAGCAGGCTTACAGTACAGCAGATCAAACCCCTCCATCTCCAAATGTGAGAAAAGTCTACAAGGTGAGTCAGACAGACCAGAAACTGTTTTTCATTCACATGCATATATAGACACACAGTAAGTAGAAACACATACAGTACCAGTCCAAAGTTTGGACACACCTACTCATTCCAGGGTTTTTCTTTATTTTAAAATGTTCTACATTGTTGAATAATAGTGAAGACATCAAAACTATGAAATAACACATATGGAATCATGTAGTAACCAAAAAAGTGTTAAACAAATCAAAACATATTTTATATTTGAGATTCTTCAAAGCAGCCACCCTTTGTCTTGATGACAGCTTTGCACAGTCTTGGCATTCTCTCAACCAGCTTCATGAGGTAGTCACCTGGAATGCATTTCAATTAACAGGTGTGCCTTGTTAAAAGTTAATTTTTGGAATTTATTTCCTTCTTAATGCGTTTGAGCCAATCAGTTGTGTTGTGACAAGGTAGGGGTGGTATACAGAAGATAGCCCTATTTGGTAAAAGACCAAGTCCATATTATGGCAAGAACAGCTCAAATAAGAAGAGAAACGACAGTCCATCATTACTTTAAGACATGAAGGTCAGTCAATCCGGAAAATGTCAAGAACTTTGAAAGTTTCTTCAAGTGCAGTTGCAAAAACCATCAAGCGCTATGATGAAACTGGCTCTCATGAGGACCGCCACAGGAAAGGAAGACCCAGAGTTACTTCTGCTGCAGAGGATAAGTTCATTAGAGTTACCAGCCTCAGAAATTGCAGCCCAAATAAATGCTTCACAGAGTTCAAGTAACAGACACATCTCAACATCAACTGTTCAGAAGAGACTGCGTGAATCAGGACCTCATGGTTGAATTGCTGCAAAGAAACCACTACTAAAGGACAACAATAAGAAGAACAGACTTGCTTGGGCCAAGAAACATGAGCAATGGACATTAGACTGGTGGAAATCTGTCCTTTGGTCTGATGAGTCCAAATTTGAGATTTTTGGTTCCAACCACTGTGTCTTTGTGAGACGCAGAGTAGTTGAACGGATGATCTCCGCATGTGTGGTTTCCACCGTGAAGCATGGAGGAGGACATGTGATGGTGTGGGGGTGCTTTGCTGATGACACTGTCTGTGATTATTTTTTTATTCAAGGCACACTTATCCAGCATGGCTACCACAGCATTCTGCAGCAATACGCCATCCCATCTAGTTTGCGCTTAGTGGGACTATCATTTGTTTTTCAACAGGACAATGACCCAAAACATACCTCCAGGCTGTGTAAGGGCTATTTGATCAAGAAGGAGAGTGATGGAGTGCTGCATCAGATGACCTGACCTCCACAATCACCTGACATCAACCCAATTGAGATGGTTTGGGATAAGTTGGAACGTAGAGTGAAGGAAAAGCAGCCAACAAGTGCTCAGCATATGTGGGAACTCCTTCAAGACTGTTGGAAAAGCATTCACCATGAAGCTGGTTGAGAGAATGCCAAGAGTGTGCAAAGCTGTCAAGGCAAAGGGTGGTTACTTTGAAGAATCTCAAATATATTTTGATTTGTTTAACACTTTTTTGGTTGCTACATGATTCCATATGTGTTATTTCATAGTTCTGAGGTCTTCACTATTATTCTACATTGTAGAAAATAGTAAAAATAAAGAAAAACCCTTGAATGAGTAGGTGTGTCCAAACTTTTGACTGGTAATGTATGTTTGGAATAACATATTTAGGCATACACACAACCGCGCACACACACACACACACACACACACACACAAACAATGGGCACACAGACAGACACACTGCACATATGGAGCTGCTTTGTCTCTCTCTCTCATTCTTGGCCATGTTTTCCTATCTTTCTTTTTATAGAGAGAGGGATGAGAGCTGCTGCTGTTGACCCAGGTGTCGGGTGAACCCTTTCCCATGGTGTCCAGTGTGTGTGTATGTGTGTGTGTGTGTTTATAGGGTATATGGCCATACATTGATTGAGAGTGTGTTACAAAGTATTTAGTGTTTTGTGTGTTTAATGTGTAAGATTAGAAAGTTCCTTCTCTCTCTGAGTGTGGTGAGTGTGTGTATGCATGTCTGTGTGTGTGTGTGTGTTGAAGACCCTGAGTGTCTTTTGTCAGCGTGGTGCAGCTCACTTCCTTCTCTTCTCTACCCTGCAGGTCGCACGACTTCCTGTTCCCCACGGGGTCGCAACCCCGACCACACACACACTGCTTTCTGTCTAAACACGCACGCGCACACACACACACACACACACACACACACACACCCTTTCTCTATTGCACTCACTCTCTACCACACACACGTAAAGGATTAACACATTGTACATACACTATATATACAAAAGTATGGGGACACCACTTCAAATTAGTGGATTTGGCTATTTCAGCCACACCCGTTGCTGACAGGTGTATAAAATCGAGCACACAGCCATGCAATCTCCATAGACAAACATTGGCAGTAGAATGGCCTTACTGAAAAGCTCAGTGACTTTCAACGTGGCACAGTCATAGGATGCCACCTTTCCAACAAGTCAGTTCGTCAAATGTCTGCCCTGCTAGAGCTGCCCTGGTCAACTGTAAGTGATGTTATTGTGAAGTGGAAAAGTCTAGGAGCAACATGGCTCAGCCGTGAAGTGGTAGGCCACACAAGCTCACAGAATAGGATCGCAGAGTGCTGAAGCACGTAGCGCGTAAAAATCGATGGCCTCGGTTGCAACACTCACTACCGAGATCCAAACGGCCTCTGGAAGCAACGTCAGCACAATAACTGTTAGTTTCCATGGCGGAGCAGCCGCACACAAGCCTAAGATCACCATGCACAATGCCAAGTGTCGGCTGGAGTGGTGTAAAGCTCACTGCCATCGGTCTCAGGAGCAGTGGAAACGCGTTCTCTGGAGTGATGAATCACGCTTCAACATCTGACACACAAATCTGGGTTTGGCGGATGCCAGGAGAACAATACCTGCCCCAATGCATAGTGCCAACAGAAAAGTTTGGTGGAGGAGGAATAATGGTCTGGGGCTGTTTTTCATGGTTCGGGCTAGGCCCCTTAGTTCCAGTGAAGGGAAATCTTAAAGCTACAGCATACAATGACATTCTAGACAATTATGTGCTTCCAACTTTGTGGCAACAGTTTGGGGAAGGCCCTTTCCTGTTTCAGCATAACAATGCCCTCGTGCACAAAGCGAGGTCCATACAGAAATGGTTTGTCGAGATCAGTGTGGATGAACTTGACTGGCCAGCACAGAGCCCTGACCTCAACCTCATTGAACACCATTGGGATGAATTGGAACGCCGACTGCGAGCAAGGCCTAATCGCTCAACATCAGTGCCCAACGTCACTAATACTCTTGTGGCTGAATGGAAGCAAGTCCCCCCAGCAATGTTCCAACATCTAGTGGAAAGACTTCCCAGAAGAGTGGAGGCTGTTATAGCAGCAAAGTGGGGACCAACTCCATATTAATGCCCATGATTTTGGAATGAGATGATTCAGCCGAGTTTGAAATTGCCCCTTCATGTTTTTTCTTAATACCCTAACACTGCACAGTCAAGATCTGCACCAGTCAGTGTGTCCTGGCCTTCTAATCACTCACCGACTGGCAACGTTATTTTCCTACAAACACAATTGCTGCTAATTGTATAGTCATTGTTCAGGAACTAAAAGCAACACCGTTTGTAATTGAATTGGGCAGAGAGCGATTGAGATAACAGACAATTAAAATGGGAGCTTTTAGACATACGGAAGCAACTGCCTGCTAGCACTGCCCTGCTCACTGCTACGCTACAAACCAACCAACCACACATCAAAATGTGATGAATTGGTTTCAAACAGAGGAAAATACGTTTTAGGGTATTTTCACAGGTAATTATTAGAGAGTCATAACAACACACTAGAATGAGCTTCCGAACCACGTTCTGGACTGGAACATTCCGCTATACCAGACATGAGAGGAAAACTACATCAGTTACCAATAAATCAAAGCGCTATAGGCTTGCCCTGCCACGCGTGACTCTGACAAGGTCTCATGGTCCATTCTGCTAGCTACACCACTGGATAATAATTAGTGTGTGTGTGCGTTTGATGATGA